TTTCCACTTTTAAAGAAGAGGACCTTAACCCCCCAAAAACCCCCAACCCCCCAATTTGGGGGGTTTGAGTCCCTCTCTTTTAAAGGGGGCAAGTTTGGGACAACACTGCAGTAGGCTATGGGTCACCAGTGCAATTCCATTGGGACCAGTATTAGGGTCTCCAGAAGAGGCCTTGCTGCAATGTTCTGCCCTAGCTGTAGTCCCTGTATTATTTTCAAGAGCAGACTCAGATTAAGCAAGTTGCAATAATCTCACCAGGAAGATACCAGAGCAGAAACTACCTTGACCAGGTCTTTAGCACAAACTTTATAAAGCACCAGATGGAGTCCAAAGCTACATCCACTGCTTTTAAGATATATGTGACTATTAATGGATGTTGCATGCAACTGAAGTTTGAGGTTTGAATGTTGAGGTTTGGTAGATAGGAATCAAAATAGCTACTGAATATGGAATAGCTCAAATGTACCTTTCTGCCATTGCTTTGACCAGTTGGAATATAAAGTAGGTATCCAAATGTTTAACATGAAGCTTTATTTGATTTAAGACATCACTTAGCTGTATACATTAGAAATGACAATGTCTATATCACAAAATGACAATAAAATCAATAATCTAAACATATTCATTTAATTTTTGGCCCATAAAGCATATAGATGTTAATATAAATACCTGCTCTTCAATAAATTAACTGCATATTCAACAAGGAGACAAAGCAAACAAGGAAACAAGGAAAAAGGAAAATCAAAGCAGAGGAGCACTGGTCTTGCCACAAGGGGAATCTCTGTGTCTTGCTTTAATCATTAGCGATTCCAAGTCGTTTAGAAATGCCTTTCTGTTTCAATGTGGACACAGACCAGAATTTGAAAGAACCCATATGAGCCATGGAGATAGGAATCAGGAAAGAAGAGGGGCACTTCAAAGATGTCCAAGAGGAAATTGCAAAAACCACTAGATGCTTGTCTTAATCAGCATTCCTGACCCTTTTATCACAAGAGAAAAGCATTCAAGAAATCCCCTCTCCTGACAGAACATTGGCAAACATGTCTTCATCAGGCTCACGTCAAATAAACCCCAAGTGAGCACGTGAGAACTTGGAATAAATCAAAAGACTGGGGTGTGTTATATGATGGATCAAGGGAGAGTTGACTGCTAGCAAATGTCTGGAATTATCTAAAGAGCTTGGTTTCATCTGAATGACTGAAAAGCAAGATACGATTCTCCCTTATGAACAGAGTTTGAGTGCCCCTTTTCCATACTGTTTTTAAAATACATTCTTTGCTTCTTTCAGTAGCCATCTCTTGCAGCCAAGAATCTGTGGCCCCTAAACAGACAAATACAAAATTGCATAGACTTTCTCGGATCCTAGTTCACTGTATTGGATGCATACATACAGTATGCATCTGAGGAAGTGGACTGTGAGCCCCCAAAGTTTATGCAGGAATAAAGGTGCCAGTGTTTAAAGGTGCCACAGGAACTCATTTTTATTATTTTGCCCAGCCCTCCTCTACAGAAACAGCAGGATAGATCACAGACATCATTGTGGTTCTATTATATAGTGACAGCTAGAAGCAGGCAATTATCAGAAAAAAAATCTTACTGAGAACAAGAATACTGAATCATGGTCCAAATAATGCCAGTGGTAGGATAGCTATAACATTTCTTAGAATTGATTATATATTAGGTCCTTTAGCCTCTCTTCATTTGTCACATAGGAACACAGTTCAGGATATCTCCTTAGAACAGTGTTTCTCAATCTTGGGAACTTGAAGATGTGTGGACTTCAATTCCCAGAATTCCCCAGTCAGCATGGCTGGCTGGGGAATTCTGGGGGTTGAAGTCCAAACATCTTCAAGCTGCCAAGGTTGAGAAACACTGCCCTAGAACATGGAGATATGTGATAGTTACAGTACTTTCCTGTTTGCTTCAGTGGAGGATCTGGCTTCATACCCACATTCTTGTATATACAAAGCTATCCTTTCCCTAAAATAAATGAGAGAGTTCTTCTCAAAGAGTGAGTGCCAGGTGCATTTTTAAAGGTCCCATGTATACAAGAAACCACAAGGCCAAAGCATCAGAAAGAAAAAAGACACGATAGAGCTATTTTAAATTAAACAATTAACTTCCTTGAACTACACATTAAAGAACTTTAAGTTCTTCCTGTTAAGAGTACATTCCAAGCTTCTTTATTCTGGTAACATCTGTACAAATTGGACTACAGTTCTATTCATGGCCAGCCAGAATGGCCAGTGGGTAAGTTTACTGCAGATGATGAGAGCAAGGATACCAATTTGGAGAAGGAAGGTGTATAGTCATGACAACTATATCAGGTCAAAGATCATTTGCTTTTAATACTAAATAATATGTAATCTTCCAAAAATGTTGTCTTTAAGACAGCTTTAATTTAATTCCACAATCAATTCTGCTAAAACAAACTATAGACTGGAGAACTTTACATTCCTTGGGGATGTATCAGGAACTCTTTAGCTACCCTTAAAGAAAACTTGCCTTCTATTGTTGAGCTTCTTCTGTCATGCACAACTGCAGGAGACTGTTGGGTGCATCCTAGAGCATTCCTTCCAGTCATACAAAGCATCAGTGAGGTTCTATGCACAATATTCAGCAGCTAATGACCTGTTGTGGGCTGAAGGTATGCTTTAGAGCAGGTAAGCACAGTTTCCCGGCCCGTTTTACATTCTACATCAGAGTTCCTGATATGCAACATGTCAGATGTACATCTGTATTAGTAGAGGCAAACCTCTTTGCTCCTGCATTCACCATTTTGCATCTGGCTCTGCCCCAACTGTATTTTACAGCTGGTTGGTAGATATCATAGTTTCAGTAGAACTAGCACCCACAAGCCTGAAGACTGCCCATCCAGCCTTTCCCAACCTGCTGTTTTCCAGATGTGTTGGACTTCAATGTCCAAAGGCCATAATTGATGGGGATTATGGGGACTAGAATTCAACTCATCTGGAGGGCATTATATTATGGAAAGTTGCAGGCTGGAACATTCACAGCTTTCTTGGAAGATGAATTAATATTTAAAGTGTTTTCTGCGATAGAAAAACCACTGCACTAAAGTAAAATTACATTTATCCAGAAATTAATTTGACCTTGGTTCAATGAAAAATACTACTTCCATTCTAAGAGAAAGTTTGGGGCAGAAGCCCCCAATGAAGAAACATACAAACAACACATACAGCAGCATCAAAGTTCAAGACTCAATTTGTTTCTCAATAAGTGCCATCTCCAGTCCTCTCTTTGCGAGCTTGGATCATCTCCTTGGGTGCCTGTTTCCGCTCAGTGACCAAACCCAACCAAAACATGAAGTCAATGAACCATGTGGTTGGGTTGAATTTCAAGCCAAGCTCACTGGCTGAATAATCAAATGGAAAGGTGTGGTGATAATTATGGAAACCTTCTCCTGGAAAACAGAACCCAGAAGAAACAAAAAGTAAGGTCAAAGGTAGAGAAAGAAAAATGTAGAATGTAGCATCAGCAAGCAGAAGCAGAAAAAGAGGTAGTACACATTCTAATGGAGAAACAGCTATTATTTTCATTATTTTGAACCACAAAAGGAATTAAAGAACTACCTTCTGTACGAATATGTGAGCAGTGGATAGGGTGTCCAAAGATGACATTGAAATGTTCCAACAAACCATCCCCTAATTTCTTACTGTAAAGACAAGTCTTGTTTCCTTTACTTCTGTTTTCCACCTATGTTGGATAATTGGATTTTATATTCTCAAAATGGGGGACTGACTATTATGTGTTTCCCAAGAGCCTTTCGGAAGCTGCTACATAACAACGTGAATCTCAGCTCTGATAGTGCTTAGAATGCCTGCCACATTCTGTGTTAAGATAGTAATTAAATGCAGATTCTGTAAATTTAACATCAGCCATTATTTTTTCCTCCCACTCTTGCTTAGTTTACTATGTAGCTAGAGGAAGAATTCTAGAAAATAATATTGTATTTTTTAGTTGTTCTAATAGTACAAGTTTTTTTTTTTAGAGAAGAAGGAAAGATCTAAGCCAGTGTTGTCCAAACTTGGCCACTTTAAGATGAGTGGACTTCAACTCCCAGAATTGAGAAACCTTATTTGTTTGCTTAGGCCAGTGTTGTCCAAACTTGGCCACTTTAAGATGAGTGGACTTCAACTCCCAGAATTGAGAAACCTTATTTGTTTGCTTAGGCCAGTGTTGTCCAAACTTGGCCACTTTAAGATGAGTGGACTTCAACTCCCAGAATTCCTGGCTGGGGAATTCTGGGAGTTGAAGTCCACTCACCTTAAAGTGGCCAAGTTTGGACAACACTGGCCTAAGCAAACAAATAAGGTTTCTCAGCATCTGCACCAGAAATTCCTTACGTTATCTGCATTTGGAGATTTCATAAGACACTCATAAAAAAGAGGAAAAGCCTTGATCACATCCTCACAAGCAGCATCTTTTTTTTACCACAACCCATGGACATGCCTGATCCTAAAGCAGCTTTAAAGCAGTCTGGAGAAAGCAATCTCAAAGCCACACTTCCCAAAACATAGTGAGCCAATTCTTGATAACTCACCAATAGCTCCAAAAGTGACCAAGGTATTCTGCCGAGGGTTGATGTTTTTGTCATATGGCCTATTGCCATACATGTGAGCAACACTATTGACCAGCCAAGCAACGTTGAGGGAGATGGTGTAGCGGAGGACGGAAGCCAGGAAGTATGAATTCCAGAAGCTCTCACCCCAGAAATACCAAGGCACGAGAGTAGGAATGACAAAACACATCAACACAACTGAAATTTTATAGTACCTGTGAAGAAAGAAAAGGAAAAACAGGGCTGGCTGGGTCATACAAGGCAACATTTCCCATAGTAATGAATCCAAATGAGTCAAGTGAAAAGAAAAGATAATGGGAGCCACATTATCAATATATATATATATGTGGTGCAAAACCGAAGAATAATAAGTGACAATGTACTTGATAGAAGCCTTTATTCAGCTATTAGTGGATTAAATATAAAGATGGAGAGTTCTGAAAAATGAAAATGTTCTCCCAGATGCCTTCATTGTAATCCCATTTTAACAAGCAGCATGTGTCCGCTCATTTGTTTAAAGAGTGTGCTTAAGATAAACCAAAAAAAAGCATATTGTTGGGAAACAATGGCTGACATGACTTGTGAGAGATTGCACAAAATGACTTCTTGTAATTTAGTCTGAGTCTGTAGTTGATTTGGCTTTATACAGATGAAATGAATAAATGAATATTTCCAATATTCTTTGCAATAAGCTGACTGGAGAATTCTGCAAGTATGGTACCAAGGACCTCAATTTTGGACTACATTCAGTGGTAGTCAGAGAAAAACATACTTCTGTGGATTCTTCTACTGAAGAGGAAGATCACAAATGGGATTTCTATATCATAGGGAGAGTATTTCACTTTCAGCATCCTTACAAATCAGTATAATCCATTGCTTTCAGTCACATCCATACTGTAGTCCTGCTTATGATTTTGGAAAACTGTAAAATTTAGAAGAGAACAGCTCTACTTTGACCTTGAATTAACATTTCCAAGAAGACAAGGCTTGAACCACACAATTCCCCATAGCTATAATTTGCAGGAGGACAGTCATGTTAGTCTATGGTTGTAAAAAGTCAGAAGGAGACTGGTAGCAAATTTTACTCTCCACAACTGATGCTGCTCACAAAAGATTATGCCTTTCATAAAAGATACTAGTTGGAAAAGGTGCTACCAGACTTCTTCTGACTTTCTGCTACCATAGATACAACAGCTAACGTCTGCCTTGCCATTTCTCCAGTTTTCTTCCTCTGTGAAAGAGGGTTCTGATTTTCTACTTTGTTCTCAGGGTGTTTGAGAATTATTCCTGAATTTCTCTTGGTGATGTTTTTGAACTGTCTAGTTCGGGGTTCCTCAACCTTGGTGACTTGAAGATGTGTGGAATTCTGGGAGTTGAAATCCACACATCTTCAAGTCGCCAAGGTTGAGGAACCCTGGTCTAGTTGGAGGGGGAGGAGAGTGTGAGCATGTTCTTTTCCCATCATTTTGAAGTTTTGGTTCATGAGCCTCCTAAACCATTAGATTTTGTGGAGTAAGCCCTTGATCTGTGTATGGTCCTGAGATCTTGCTGGCCACTTCAGACTCCTGGCCTCTGAGTTCAGTCATTTCCTGTTTTCTAAACCTGAATCCATCTGCTTCTTCAGTAAATTCCACCAATAATATTATCTACTGATTTCTAATTGTTCCAGAGTTGCTTAACCTGTGCTGCTATTTTACCTGTTATGGTGGGAGCAGAATACTGTAGGCATCCTCAGCATCCCCCGTTGGTCCAGCTGGACCTTCACCCATTTGTTTTTAGACTAGGATTGCTTTTAAAAACAAAGGGGGCTAGAAAATGTATGCATAAATACTGGTGCTGTTCCAAGGGAGAAGAACGTATGCCTTGTGTGAACTACATAATACTAGGTAAGTGTCTACAGCTGCATCAGGTATTAAACCTGGGATCTTCTGATCTCTACCCAACCCTGCTGTCATCCTCACAGCTAGCACAAACATTTCCTTGACTCCTGTAAGCCTTTGATTATGACATTCTCTCTTTAGTTGATTCACTTTATCTCTGTTCACCAGGAAGTAAAAAGAGTAGTCTCCCTCCAGCTGGGAAAAGAAAGTTCTGCAGTTAACGCTACTACATATAATGTTTCAGCTAGGGAGTCTGTTAAACTTCCATCCTTCACCTCCCCTACAACTACAAAACCTTTATCTTTCTGCACGCTGTCATGAACTGCACTCAATCCTTCAGAGCATTGTGTGCATAGCATGCACAAGAGTGTCTGCTCCTTTGTTTGGAACAATTCCTCTTGAAGTAATTGTAATTTGCCAGAATTTGTGTCACTGAGCACAGATTTCTTTCTCATTAATGCAGATGCTTCGAAGGCATTATTCTCCCACTCCCCCAAGCATAAAATCCTGCACTCCCTCATGCTTGATCATGTTCTTGTTCCTTCTGCTGTGATCATGTTTTCTTTCTTTTTTAAGGGAACTTTCTTTTTGGCTCAAAAATGACAAATTCCCATGGCAGTTTAACATTAGCAAATTGTGGCTTAAACATTCATGGCTTGTTCATTAAAAATGTATTGATCTTTAAGGTGTCATAAGATTCTTCATTTTTCACTGCAGTGACCACAAGGCTCTCTTGTTGGAACTCCTCAATCAGTTTGGAAACCTGCCATACAACCAGTGTCCCCTCTTTGTCCAACCCTTTCTCCATTTTGCTTGACCATCTTGCTTTCCATGAATCCCTTGGACCCTGATTCAAGTCCACTCTCAAGTCTAAGGTCATTGGGTGTTACTCCATCTTTCAGCCCACCTCATTGGGTTGTGGTTCTGGGGATAAAAACCCCTGGTGAAAATGTGGGACATGAATCTATCAAAGAAACGAATATAAGGACTGTTCTGAGTTCTTTAAGTCCTAATGGGGTTAAGATAGAAGTTTTGTGCAACTCACTGTGTTTGAAGAGAGGCCTGTTTGGGCCCAGGTGTACAGCCTTTTTAAAAGGATCTTTTTAATGCTTTAATTCTGTATATGTTTATGTTTGTGCTCTTCGTTCCGTGCTGGGGTGTTCTTGAAAGCTGCTTTTTACCCTCATTAGGGCTTACTTTTGTTTTCACTGTTTATTCATAGCTATTTCCTTTCTGAGTGATTCTTTCAAAATAGGTCTCAGATGAGAAACAAATGCAGGAAAGGTGGCTGAATTAAGCCATATCTGTGATTGCTTATTTCAGTCAGAGATCAATGCACCTCTAAGGAAGGTCCTTAGACCTGGAGGCCTCCCCTGTAAAATTCAGCAAGCCCACTTTCTCCACAGTTTTTTAGATTGGCTGAGAATAATCATGGGCCAAGCAATTTATTTATGCAGGAATTGGTCCCAGTCCCAAATTACCTAATTGCTTATAAGAGCTTTGTATATACCACTTCTCATGGATGTGGGCTTATGCTTTCAGTTTTCCAATAGCTCTATGCTAAACTCAGAGGAGGAATTAATGTACTGTGGTCATGACAATCCTATAAATAACATTCTGCTTGTTAATTTCCTAAGTCTTTTCCTTTGCAGACCTGCACCCCTGAAAAATCACTTACAAGCTATATAAGCACTTTGTTGAGGCTGGGAAATGCTAATTATCATAGAATTATCACAATGAGTTGGGAGGGACCCTGGGGATCATGTAGCCCAACCCGCTGCCCACCCCCACCTGATCCCAAGGACTGTCCAACCTTGACTTGAAAACCTGCCACAATGGAGCACCAGCATATCTCCAGCCTTACTCGTGTTTACAAGCATCACTCACTTTCTCTGAAAGCTAACGACGGGATCCTCCAACAAATCACTGAAGTCCAGCTTTCTGCCTTTCTCAATGACATCACGATGCTTCCGAACAAAGAGCCAGCCAATATGAGAGAAAAAGAACCCACGCTGGGCGTTGTGGGGATCAGCATCTGTCTCAGAGTATTTGTGATGCACCCGGTGATCTCGACACCACTCGAAAATATCATTCTGCGCAAAATGGAAGAAGAAGAAAATTAAGTTTCACAGCCTTGTGGACCTCTGAATCCTCCCTGGCCCATATTGTTCTTTCAAGCACAAGCATTGTTTGCCCAATCAGAAAAACAACTGTTTATGTCAAATGCTATCAAAGATAGGAGCTGGCTTATTTTCCAGAGAAAATTGTCCTCTGGCTATTTTGCTGTTCCCATCTCCTGTGAGACTTCAGAAGTGTGTTTACCTCGCCCACCTGTGCTTCTTGGAGGAGAGCAGGTGAACTGATTTTCAACATATAAATAGCAGGTGTAGGCAGTGGTGGGTACATCTGTCACCCTTTAGCCTAGTGTTTTTCAACCTTGGTGACTTTAAGATGGGTGAACTTCAACTCCCAGAATACCCCAGCCAGCTGGCTTTTCTTAACGTCAGTGGGTTCTAAGACTTAGAAGTCAGAAAATAAATAAGTTTGCAAAAGAAGTTGGGCCACAGAGCTGATTGACCAGGCCTTCCTGTAGAGTCCTAAGTATGCCTACTCACAATGAAACTGAACACACAATCCTTTTATTTGCATACATTGTTCTCTCTCTGTTTCTCCCCCCAACCACCCACTTTCTCTCACACATACTGTAATTACCTTTTAAAACCGTCTTGTTCACAACAGCAGAAGCTACTTGTCAGCCTGATTGCAGTGTAGGGGATAGTTCAGGTGTGGACAACAGCATAAGGAAGGGCAGTATTAGCTCTTCTCTGCCCATAAACAGCCTCAGCCGATGCAACCTTTGCTCCTTCCAGGATGGAAGCATTAATGTAACTTCCATTAGCAACAATGGAATCTATGTTAAACCCTCGTGGGTTCTTGGATCAGCGGCTGAGCCGAAGGGCTGTTCCTATTCCTTGTGGAAGACAATCAGGGCCTGGGAAAAGGGGTCTGGATCTGGGGAGGTGGCTGTGTCTCCCTATACCAGTGTTTCTCAACGTTGGCCACTTTAAGATGGGTGGACTTCAACTCCCAGAATTCCCCAGCCAGCAAGGCTGGCT